TATGTAATGAAGAAAGAACAGTCTTGTTAATAAATGGTGTTGGGAACACTGGACAGCCATACACAAAAGAATGAAACTCAACCACTATCTTACACCATACACAAAAATCAACTAATAATAGATTAAACATTTGAATGTAAGACCTGAAACCATAAAAATCCTAGAAGAAAACATAGGCAGTGAGCTTCTTGACATAAGTCTTGGTGATAATTTTTTTTTGATCCGACACCAAAAGCAATAAAAGCAAAAATACGTAAGTGGGATGACATCATACTACAAAGCTTATGCACAGCAAAGGTAACCATCGACAAAATGAAAAGACAAACTACTGAATGTGAGAAATATTTGCAAATCATATATCTGAAAAGAGGTTAATATATAAAATATATAAAGAACTTATATGACTCAGTAGCAAAAAAAAAAAAAAAAAATCAATTCCAAAGAAGACATACAGATGGCCAATAGCTACATGAAAAGAAGCTCAACATCATTAATCATTAAAGAAATGCAAATCAACATCAGAACGAGACAGCACCTCATATCAGTTATCAAAAAGACAAGAAATAGCAAGTGTTGGCAAGGATGTGGAGCAAAGGGAATGCTTGTGCACTGTTGATTAGAATATAAATTGGTGTGGCCACTATGGAAAACTAGGTATGGAGCTGTATTAAAAAATTAAAAATAAATGCAACAATTTCACTTCTGTATATTTGTCTGAAGAAAACAAAAACACTAACTCAAAAAATATGTACCTCCATATTCATTGCAGCATAATTTATAATAGCCAAGATATGGAAACAATCTAAGTGTCCATCAATGGATGAATAGATAAAGAATAGTGGTAGGTATATAAATAATGGAATATTATTCAGCCATAAAAAAGAATGAAATCTTGTCATTTGTGGCAACATGATAGATCTTGAGGGCATTATGCTAAGTGAAATAAGTCAAATAAAGTCAATTACCGTATGATCTCACTTTTATGTGGAATCAAAAAAAAAAGTTCATGGATGTGGTTCCATAGTGTAGCTGTTAGCACATCTGCTTTAAACCCAGAAGGTCCTGGGTTCGCGCCCCAGTAGAGCCACGGTCCATGATCTACAGCCATGCCACCCTGCACAAGCCTGATGTCTGATGTCAGAAGCTAAGCAGGGTCGGGCCTGGTTAGTACTTGGATGGGAGACCAGGTGCTGTAAGCGTAAATAATAATTAAAAAAAAAATGTTTATAGACACAGAAAACAGATTAGTAGTTGCCAAAGGCAGGGGGTTCAGGGTGGGAGAAATGGGTGAAGGGGGTCAGAAAATAAAAGGAAAAAAGAATCAGTGATAAACTGAATATGAGACTCAGAGAAGTAACAGTCCAAGATGATTCTCATCTCAGATTGCTAGCTAGAGCAATGGGGCAGATGGAGGTGCTGTTAATAGGAAACACAGAAGGGGAAGCAAATGTTTTCCATCCATTCCTTGGTACCACTGATAAGCAAAGGGGTAATAGGTTTCAAGTGGGCAGGAAGCACTAGCAAGAGCAGAATAATTCAAATTCATATCCTACATATCGCTGCCATAGGAAGCTATCTGAAACACTAACGTGACCATCATTCTAACCTGTCAGTGGTTCTGTTACCTAAAAGGCAACATGACTCCACTTTCAACAGCAGGCTCTATTACCAGATTCTTTAGATTTTTATCCAAATCCCACAACTGACTACCTATATGGCCTGTGCCTCAAGTTTCTCACTGTGTAACAGGGATATTAAAATGACCTCACAGGGATTAAACCAGATAATATAATGTAAAGCTCAAGGGGCAGGGCCTGCCATACAGTAAGTGCTCAATAAATACCAGCTGCTCATTCTATCCCCCTCCTCTTGATCTGTTATAACCTTTAGTATTATTTCCACGGGAAACCCAGCATATGAGATTGTGGATATTTGGGTAATACTATCACTTCATCTTGTCTGGATGGCCAGTATTAAATAAAACTGAAAGAACATCCTCTATTGGTTTCAACCAGAGCAGACGTGGAGTGTAGGAGCAGAGCTGATATTTCTGTGGTCCTAAATATAAAACCATATAAATCAGGTGTTGGATTTACCTTGCTAAAGACAGGGAGAAGCTATGTTTTCTGTCAAATGATAATGAGAACACTAGGCAAGGGTCAGAGCATGCCCTTCAATCTCCTTTGAGCAAATATACAGCCTGCCACCATTTCTGAGGTAGTTTTATAATAATGCAAATGATCTGCCTTCAACTCCAAAAGCCAGTTCAGAAGGGAAACCAGCAGACCAGGTAACTTAATTATAAAACATTTAGAGCAGCCTCAGAAAAACTGAAATGAATCAAAAACAAAACTTCAAATGTCAAACAGTCTGCCTTTTTCCATAAAATATATTCCCCAATGTTTGGCTCAAATTTGTCTTATTTGGTAAAAAATCATTGGAAACACCAAAGTATTAAATTGGTTCCAAATGATCTTAAATACAGGAATGGGCTCCACTGTTATGGCCCCTATGTGGTTAAAACTAGCAGCTTCCCCTCAACACTGAGTTCCTGTTAGTTTTACCAGGCCCTGAAAGCACAAAATCAGGCTGGATTATTCATAATGATAAATTAGTGTTAGTGTCATCCACTTGGCACAATTTGAGGATAATTATAATGGAGTTTTTTTTTAACGGTCTTTCCCCAAGTATAATACGAGAAAAAATAATCTAACATGAAATTACAAAACAAAACAAAACAAAAAAGTTTAAAATTTGAACAAAGGAGAGAAAAAAGACCCCTTTTATATATCAAGTTACAATGCCTCTCTAACTGCAATATTCTCCTGTTTCTGTTCACTGGCCCAGATTTCTTTCAAATTGGCTTTCTTGGCGCTCAAACCATGAAAACATCTGGATTACATTTTTTTGGACTAACAAGAGATGAAATAAATAGGCTGAAACTACGTAAAACTGATTAGAGGAGAAAAGGGACTTTTACCTAAATGTGATTCAGAAATGTATGTGCCTATAAGAACACTTTGCAGGAATTATTAGCTTTGATAAATATTTTTCAGTCAAAGATTAGCTAAAGAAAAGTAATTTCTGCTATGATGTTAAAATTCACGTACAGAAGAAATGTCATGTAACGTTTTCTCTTTTCAACTATTTAAAAAGAGAACTTTAAATCATATTCATTACGCTTTTCTCCCTCCCTCTCTCCCTCTCCCTCTCTTTCTCTGTCTCTGTCTGTCTCTGTCTCTCTGTCTCTCTGTCTCTCTCTCTGTCTCTCTGTCTGTCTGTCTCTCTCTCTCTTCACACACACACACACACACACACACAGAACCAGTAAGAATATGGGCAAATACAACTCCCCAACTATGGAGAGATGTTTAGAGGGATACAGTCTAACTGTGTTTAAGAAATTCTTTTCTATGACTTCATTTTGGTTCTCTGATTCTACAGACACAACCAAAAGTTTAACCAAAATGATGGCCTTCATCCTCAGATTGAGGATACATCTGTTCAGCAGTTTATATAATAACCATACATATGAGAACCTAACACAAAAGAAGATTCAATTTAGAATGTATAAACCTTAAGGAGTAATTAGGAATTTTCCTGCCTTCCAAATGAACTGGTGCCAATATTTAGTAATCTTCACTCTGAGATGTCACAGTTCCCAAAAATGCCTTGATCCATTCTGCCACTGGCAAACTATGGTGCATTGCTTAGATTTCCCATCAAAAAGAACTTGCTGATTATTTGCAGAAATCCAAATAGTTGACTCCCCCCGCTGTTAGCACCTTCTGATCTGCCTCAGCCCCTTCTTCTTAGGAAGCCCTAGCAATTGCTTAGTGCTGTGTGGAGACTGGGGCTTGGCCTATCCTCCTCCGTGCAGGGCTGTTTCATGGGACTGCATAAACTATCAGACCTGAATTGTCATCTGAGGCTCAGCCTGCCCATCCCTGATTTTAGAAGCACTATCTCCTACTAATCCTCTCTTACTCCTAACTTCATTCTGGGATCTGCTTTCTGGAGTTTCCAATAGACATAGCCTATTTATTCTGTTTCCATTTAGAAAAACATCTCATGAGATTTCTATATAAAAACTTGGAGACTTCTGAAACAAGCATAATTTCCCAAAACATGCACCAAAATGAATTAATGAGGAATGCTTCTCTGCCTCTACACATTTCCTTTTAATAGTTTCTAAACAGAAAGTTCACTTTTCCCTCGCCCTGAGACTTTTTTCTCAGGGATTCATCATTTAAAACTCCTCGTGTTTCCATGTTCACCAGCCAGTGAATGATATGAGGCAGGAAGAAATTCTTCATTGTGCATGACCACCAGTAAACAAAGTGGGACTATCTAACTGGAAACGTATGAGAAAAGTTTTTCTTTTCTAATGATTCTTTACTGTACTGTAGAGTTTGCCACCGTATAGAAATAAGAAAGCAAAGTAAATGGATTCATATTGCATGGGTGGTTTTATATTCAGAAAGTAACATTACTTTAAAAATGAAACTGGGTTTTACAAAAGCTGAGTGTGTACTGCAGTGGTTACAGCCATTCCTACAAATTCTTATAATGACCTTCATTAATAGGAGAGCTGAAGAATATTTCTAAGTACAAAGCAACTGATAATGGAGATAAGGGCTCTTATAATATTGGCTTAGTAAATTCCATGACTGAAAGGAACACAGCAAACTAAAGTGTTTAATCCAAAAACAGTGCTGGAAGTTTTCAACTTTTATTAACTAAAGATAGGCAGTAGTTTTTGATGGTGAGTTGATGTGTTGTTTCACTGTTGTTGGTTTTTTATTATTGTTTTAATTTAAAAGAATACACAACTCTGGTCCATGAAACAACATCTAAGCATAGATATCACGGAATAATAGGTAGGGCCAAGTGATAGTACCAAAAACAACAACAATAAGAATACTTGATACCTGATGCTTGTATGGACTGGGTCTAGTTAGCTTAGATCTCTAACTAGGAAGAGAGAAAATATTCAGTACCTTGACTTTGGCAGTACATCCTGAAAGTCGAAAAATTCCTTCAGATTCCAGACCTGATTCCTCAACTTTCTCAAAAAACTAGAAAGCAATGAATGATACATTACAAAAATAAATATCTTCACATGATTATAAACATCTGAAATAATAATGATTACAACAAACGATAAATTACCAAGCATATATACATGTACTTGAATGTCTAGTTGTGTTCACAACACTCTATGAGAGCTACATTAGCCTACAAGTTATAAATGAGGAAATGAAGACTTAGAGCTGTTGTATCATTTCCAAGGATCATCCTTAAAAGTAATGGCACTGACTCTCTCAAGCTTATGCTCTTTACCAAGGAAGTATGCTCCCACTTAGTTATTTTAAGATCTAATTATTAGATCTATTTTTGCAGACAGACCAGTGAGAAGAGATTCTAAATTCACTATCATTAGTTGTAACTACTCTGGCTAAGAAACTATAGGAATTCTAGAAATCTGACCAAGGAGGTAGAAATTATAAAGGCTTATAGCTCTCATGAACTCTTGTGGTGATGATGATGGTGTCAAAATAATGATAACAACAACAACAACAACCATTAACACTGATTGTGTACTTTCTGCACGTCGGATACCATTCTCTGTACTTTACATCTATTAACTCATTTAAACCCTCACAATAATCCTACGAGGCAGGTACTATTAGTATCCTCATTCTACTGCTGAGGAGACTGAGGCATGGAAACGATAAATGATGTGCCCAAGTTCACCCAAGAACAAGATCCAGAGTCTGCCATTTCCCCTTCAAGATATTCAAGGAAATTTTTGTAGGTATGGAGAGAAATAGATATTTAGGAGGAAGAAACAGGTCCACAAGAAGCTCTGTCCTTTACACAGAGGACAAAAAGTTGTAATTCTGGTTCTAATTCAAGGAAGGAAAGAAAACCTTAGAGTCACCGTGGCCTTTAGCTTTGGATATATACTGTAGTGCTTTTCATATCTACCTCTTGCTGGCTGTGTGTTCTTGGATAAGTCTCTTCTTGTGGATGTGTTGCCTTCTCCTAAATATAAGGGTAATGCCTCAAGCTATTAAATGAGGAACACTTAATATTAGTAGTAATAACAGCTAACATTTATTGAGTTGATAATATGATATAAATCCAGATTTATTTTAACTAGCATTTATTATGCACCTTTCATTTGCTAAATTCTGTGCTAGGTTTTTGTACCTACATTAATAATAATAAATTCATGTATTGAATCTTCTCAGTTTTTTATTTTTACACATTTTCTTCAAACTCTGTCCTTTACACAGAGGACAAAAGTTGTAATTCTGGCTCTCAAGGAAGGAAAGAGAACCTTAGAGTCACCGTGGCCTTTAGCTTTGGATATGTACTGCAGTGCTTTTCATATCTACCTCTTGCTGGCTGTGTGTTCTTGGATAAGTTATCTCAACCTACGATGCCTCAGTTGCCTCGTCAGTAGAAGTGAGATAACACTGAAATTCTCGGGCTGTTTGGCACTGACCAGACGTGACAGGATATGGAAGGCACTGGCACAACTTTGTGCAGGACAGGCACTCGACAGATGGCCCCTGTGCACACTAGCACATTGCTGGTATCATTTGCCATCCTCCCATTGGTAGCCAATCAATCACCTGATTTGAGGAGTAACTCAATTTGAGGCACTGGTAGCAAAATTTAGAAAGATAATACAGAGATGTATAATTATTACTGTGAATAAACTAAGTTTCCTCAATCAATACTTTTACATATCCTTTAAAAACTCAATTTAAAATTCAGTAAGGTTGGTGTGTAGGGCTTGGAGTTTTAATTGTGCCACTGGATGTCACTGTTGAATAAATGACTACTTAGGTAAACCAGTATAAACAGTTGGCTATAAAAAACATGACTTAAAAGGAAATGAACCATTCACCAATGATAGAGATATTAGGATATGATAGTTCAGATAATATCACTTTCAAAATTTCTCAGACCAAAATTCTTCTTCATCTAGATGTATCCTATCTTCCCAGTCATATCTAAAAAAACACTGGAAACAAGCTGATTTTCAGACTTTATTAAGCTTTGTTTGGAAAATTCATTTCAATAATTATAGGTACACCTTTTGAAACACCCAACCTATGATCTATCTCGGCAAATACTTGTATGATCAGTAAATGTATTAGTGATAATTAATTGTCATCTTTTATCCCAGACAGAATAATCAAATACACATACAAACACATACACAGACATGATAAATTTTTTAAAAATTAGAAAACACATAACCAAAGGGAGCCATGTCATGGAGCATCTGAATCCATCATCTGATGCTTTATGATCAGACAATAAGCTCCGAAAGTTCACAACAAGGCAAATTGGTCCAAATGATTGTGAAACGTCATGGGGATTCATGGAAAGCTGAAAATCACCAACAGCTTGACTCCTAATAAGGCTTTAGCATCTGTAAATCTAAAGTAAAATTCACTAGTGGGTTTACAAATAGCAAACTGCAAGCAAGAGGCTCTCTTAATTCCCCATTCATTCACATGCTACTCACTTTTTGTAACACAAGGGGAACTTTCACTTCAGGGTCTTTCTTTCGGTCATTGTCCAGTAGGACTGTAAGTGGAACTCCAAAAATTCCATTGTCTTCATTGTAAAATGTCAAGAAAGAAAAAAAGAATACATCTTATTCCATTGTATCAAACTATTAGAATGAGAAGAAATCAGACTTCTTAATTACCTCGTCCTTTTACTTTCTCTGTTTTGTTTCTTTTCAGTTGAATTCCAAAGGCATCAAAAAAGGCTGTCAATTCAATCAGAGAGAGATGGCGGATTTTCTTCATGTCTTCAGCAGACAGATCTCCTGCTTCAGTTAGGCCAAGTCTGGTTTTTTGAACAATAAATTTCTAAAATACATAGTAAAAATTTTTTATGACAAAGGAAAATTATTATACCTTCATTCAAATGCCACCTTGACATTCGAAACCTTTACAGCAAGACATGCTATTTGCAAAAATATCTTTGAGTAGTATGCTGCATCACAGGGAGATTATAAACATGAATTTTAGAACATTTGAAGATCTCTACTATGTTAAATTAGAAGCAAAACAGTGGTCTAAGTATACTATAACATTGCTATCACAACTGTAAAAATCACTTTCTTCTAAGAAAAATTCTGTATCATCAACTATGTACATCCCAGACATCACATGAAATGTACATACCATGGGCACATGTGAGACATGCATACAGGCACACCATCTAGGTACTCCCAGGAGAGCTTCTGATATATATTTTTTATTTTAGACCATTAATCCTAAAATCAGACATCATTAATTCTCTTCTGCATACTTTAAAAGACTGTAAATAATTTCCAAACTGAAACTGATTGCACATGCTTGCTGAGACAGTAGTTATTCTACCTTAAAAATCAACTTTACATGACCCCAAAGCCTTAAAAAAGAAAAATTCATTAAAAGTGCCAAATAATCATACCATCATTTTGAAGAAGATATTGTTATATTCTCCATTTCCATACTAGAAGGCAAAATATATTTTAACAACGAAAACCCTTCAACAATCCAGAAATATGTGAAGATGATAAGTAAGACCTTTTAAAAGCAAGAGACTGTTCTTATATAATATGTAAGTAATAATGATAAAATATAAGTATTATACAATAAGTACAATAGATAATTAT